TATGAGACTCTATCTGGGAAGCTGCTCATAAACACCATTCTGGGCTAATACCAGTCCTCCAACGCTTCCCTTGGATGCTTTCAGGCATGTTCCTCCACACAGGACACATCTCTCCTGTTCTTTCTTTCAGTTCCCTTTACGCTCCTAAGGGCAAGCATGTGCCCAAAGTTGTCCTGTGTATTCCAAAGCTTATTATTCCTAAGCCTTTGTGTTCCTGGATGAAAGTCATCTTTTCAGCAGTCTTGGTTAGCAGTGCCCAGTGAAGGCAAGGCAGAAGCAGTGACTGTGTGCTTTCTTCCCTTCCACTGCTCCTCAGGGCAGAGGTTAAAAGAAAACACCAACAACAAAACAGAAACAACAACAAAAAAGTACTGTTTAATGTTCTGCATATAACACAGGTTTAAATGTAGACTATATATATGTATATATATATATGAGAGATGAGCCTCTTCCATGTCCCTTTTCTTCAGATACTTCTGATTTTCTGTTGGGAGTGCTTACAAAATAACAAGCTCTGGAGAAAACAGGGGTATTGTTTGGTTTAATTATTGTCCCTTGCTGGCTCACTGGAATCTATCTAGGTGTGGAAGATGGAAAGGGAAGAAGTTATGGGGAAATTGTGTTGTTTCTATCACTGGTTAGAGGAAAAGCTACTTCAGAAATTACCCTGTGGGCTGATACACAAACTGTGTGAATCCCTAGACTGATAAGACGTTCACCAGTGTTCTGTTATTTCATACTATACACTATATACTAACAAAAATGGACAAACATGGTAACGTCAATGCCATTTCCTAATTTTTGGTATAGTCCCTGGCTTCCTGCTTTATACAACTCTAACTTTGAGCAGAGGATGTCTTTCATTCTTTTTGCCCACCTAGTTTGTTCCAGCTGCTGGAGCTTTTCCAGCTCAGGGAGGTACTGCATTCTCCCCATTCCTCTACGAGATTAATTTCTTCCAGATCCATTGGTTTCAGTGGCTGGAGCAATGTTGAGCAGGTGGTCTGAACTGTAGCTTCAGATGAAGAATTTCCAGACGACTTTTTTTCTTCTGTGACTCTATTACTGAAAACGTGAATCAAGTTGCTACTGTTTTACAGCATAGCCCAGTTACAAGCAAACAGTAAGCAGGCATTTTCTTTTGCTGACTTTGTGTGCATGTGCACACAGAAAGATGAAGATCACAGCCTTGCATGCTTGTGCAGAGCAGAGAACAGTAGAATGTTGCACGTGGCAAAACTCAAGAATCAAGTGTTTACTCACACAGCTTATACTTACTGCACACAGAGCTTATAACCATAGTAGTGGTACTGGAATGTGTAGATAGGCACAACTAGAAGAGAAGTATTTATTTACTGTGATTCATGAATAATATTGCAGTGTTAACTGTAGAACAGCTACAGCAATGACAATGAAACAATTCTTCACTTGTATCATTAGAAAATGTTAAATGATAACTGTTAAGGTATTTCCTGATTTGAGGAATTTTAAATGGTAAGACAATTTATACATAGGCCAGGACATTTTGCAAAATACATAATTACAAATTTGAAAATATATTCTACAGCATTTGAAAATATATTCTACAGCATTTCAGCTTTTTGTCTTGCTCCTCAGATTGTGGGTTCCTTTGTTATTTTTCTTTATTTTCTTTGCTTACTACATGGAGGAATAGTTTCTTCTTGCCATCTTAACTTTTTCTTTGTTGATCTGAAAGCGTAAATTATTCCTAGTGCAGTTCTTCCTTAAATATTCATTGTACACGAGTATGCTTAGCAGAGATGTGATCACCGGGGCAGTGGATGATTCAGGCATTTACTCACTGAGTCAGCGGTCACAATGAGTAGATTCATATACTTCAGGCATGTAAACACGAGCTGTCACTTCAGTTCACTGAGTTTTGATCTGGGGTTTTTGCAAAATTATTTCCGGAATAGTGAAATATTGAGAAGTAATGTGTATACATTCTGTTTGGATGGTAGGTTGTGATGTGGAGTATTCATGTAATGTTACCCGCTTTCACTGTCTTAGGAGAACAGCCTTATTATTCATTTTGTTCGCTTTATCATCAGTTTTTGATTAACATGTCAATGATGTTCAGCAGCTGTATCTAAATACAGAGTGTACATCCTGTACCTCATTGCATATCTATGTAATGTTTCACCTTGTCCAAAGAGTCTTTCTTAGGGAAGTCCTAATATTTTTAGAGATTTTGCTAGTTGAAAGGATGCTCTTTCTTAACATTCAGTGTGGGGCTGTGGAGCCGGCCAGACTGTGGATATGATATTTAAAAAAAAAAACTTGTCCCATTCTTTTGTGAAAAGTTACCTAAAATAGAATATGTTAGTTGGGCCATTTTTAAGGGGCATGAAGATGTGTTCTGGCCCAGACTGACAAATTCCAGGTCACTGCAACTCTTCTCTGCTAGTGACAATCTTATTCAGTATCTTCTCTGACTGAAGGATAGCAGTGAATGGCAGTGACTCAGCCTCACAGTAAACACAAATAACTTTGTCTTCAAATAGTTGATTTTTTTTGTCGTATTGTTTTAATCTGTCTTCTCCGGGGTCTCCCAGATCTTCTGATACTTTCTGCTGGACCTCCCAAATTGGAGTTATGCACATCAGTTATTTTCAGTTAACTCCACCCACCAAAATTCAACATTATCTTGCTATGCTGCCTTTTTACAAAAAAAAAGAATCAACTGATTGGGTTTTCTTCTAAAAAATCAGTGGTCTCCTGTGCTCACCATGGCAGCGGCCACTTGGTGCGCTCTTCTACGTATTGCTTTTGATTTGTCAGTGGGATAAAAACTTGTGATATTGGCTGATAGAAGACTTAATTGTATCTACGTAATGTATTTGATATGTCCCATGTGTATATCAAGATGTTAGTAACTGAGGGATTTATCTCCATTCAGAATGCAGTGGTACTTCTTTCAAGAGTTTAGCTGTAGGATTCTTGCCAGAAGCTGAATATATTTTATTTTTTTTTAATTTTTATTATATTTTATTTCATTTTATTTTACTTTTCCAGAGTTTGTCTCTTTTCCTGTCATCTCTGGACATCCATTGAATTGAGCTGGCCACCCTTCCTTTTTGATGGTTGTGAAAAATATGAGAGTTAGTTTTCCAGATTCCTGGAGAGAATATTTACACTTGTTGTTCCTTTGAAAAAGCATTTTTAAGTGTGCTGTATTCTAAAAATGGAATCATAGAGTAGAACAGCGATTTAAAGATTGGGTGATGGTGTAAGATGAGGATTTCAGGTGAAAATGGCTGTATCTGCAATTTCTGGTGACCTGATATCGCTTCCTTATGTCAGTTGCGGTTGCTGTTACTTTAATAAATAAGTGTCATCTCCACTGTTGGTCACAAAACGGTTCAGATAGACTTGTGTCTGCCCAACCTGCTGTAGTTAGTTAAATACTTTTCTATAAATTCAATAAAATAATTCTTCAGGTGCTACCAGATATTGAGAGTAACTTCAATAATGTAGCGAACCTTAGAAGTAAAGATTTGCTGGCAACTTGCTATTGAAGTCTGGTGCTAATTAATAAGGACTCCATCCATGCACAAACTTTTATCGTTATCCTACTTTTACCACCAAATGATGATAAGGTCAGTTTCAGGCTTTGCAGTGAGATTTCATTGGATATTAAGGTAAGAAGAAACTTCAAGGTGTTCCATGAAGGTTAGATTTAATTATTTCCTTCTTCTTGTAACCATTACGGAAAAGTACTAATAAAAGGCTGGATGGTTCATTTTTGTTTTCTTTAATCCTCAAGTGGCAGGTGCAAGCCCAAAGGAAAAATGGTATAAACCAAGCTGAGCTGGCCTTTTGTGTCTATCAGAGTTTTCTTTGCTTTCTCATAAGACCAGGTTTGCTTGCTGAGAGGATAATTTGACTCACCTTTAGAAAGTTAAAGGTCAGCTGCGCTTGAGGAAGCCCCTGTTTGGCAGTGACCTCCATAAAATGTCCCCAGCTCTTTCTTAACAATTACCCTCTCTAAAACGGTAGGCTTTTCTTTTCCTGCCTCTGAATTCTAGGATTCCAGTGTTGCTCAATGAACTGCAGAAAATACTGGATAGATCCTATTTTAGTATTCTCTGTTGCATGTTCCGTACTGAATGTAAGGTGGATGGCTTTTAACTTTAAGCCAGTGTATGCCATATCAGTACATGTCCTGTCTGCAGTGTAGCTAATGGTGATTTTATTTCTCTCCTGCTCCTTTTTTTGTCATCTTTTTCTTGTTGCTTTTTTTTGCGTTATGTCAGAAAGCTTGAAGTCTAAAAAATTAACTCAGTCATCTGTATCACTATAAGCACAAGATAAAAATGAATTATTAAACAAGAACTGAATTCCTTGATATTTTTTCAAGTAAAATGTGTTTTTAATAATGATCTAAAGTAGCCAGAAATCAGTTATTCTTCTCATGTACGTGCCAGTCAATGACAAAAGAATTGTTTTGCTGTCTGATTTTAATTATGTACATTTTTATTATGAGTTCTACTAAAAAGCTTGTAATGTGACATCACACGATGTAAACCAATCTGATCACTGATAGCATTTAACTGGCTTAGAATGTCTTTGGAGTGTTCATATGCTGGAAAACTCTCAGAAAAGAAATGATCAAGTTAGGCTGCTAAGAGAGAGTTCATGGCAAATTAAATGCTTATGTAAAATTACCCACTATCCCAGTGTGTGCGAGTGTGAGGGTATGCGTGCGCACATGTGTATTCTGGAGCTGATGAGCCTCTGGTAGGGAGCTTTGCAGAAGCTGCAAGTATTTTTAGTGGAAACGAAATCTCAGTTCAGTTCTGCAGCATGTGACTTCCTATTTCTGTAAGTTACTTCCAAGAGACTTCCTCTGTTAAATCGGCTTGTCTCTGGAGATTTGAGCTGGAGCTGGAGTGTAGTCTGCTTTGTCCTGTGCCTGTGGCTGAGTTTTCCCACAGTTTTCATTTGAGTATTTTATTTTTCTTTTGTGCTGTCTCCAGCATGCAAGGATCTAGTGGCTGCTACCCGTGATCGGAAGCTGAATACGTTTATACAAGTCTCAGTGGTACATCCAGCAGAGCACGTTTTGACGAGGTATTCAAGTACTGAAATCGTGGAGGTGAGTGTCTTTCATATTCAATTAACGCATTAATTAATTAATTGCTCTTTTTGTTGTTTCCTTAAAAAAGTGAGTGAGAAATGAAACGAGTTAGTGCAGAGTCTTAGGTAAGGAAGCACACACTGGCTGTTAGCAAAGCGTACCTAAGAGCGTTCTGTAGTTCTTGGCATTTAACCAGGACAAACAGCTAGTAATGAACTTGCCTTTTCATGAAAGCTCTATTTTTCTAAGCAAAGACTTACAGAGTACTCCAGTTCTTCAGACGTTGGTCTGGACTGAGACAGTGAATAGCTGCTCTCATGAAAGAGCAAGGCTATTTTAAATAAAGGTAAACTCAGAGTACAGTGAGTTTGGAAAGTATTTTTGAATTATAGAAGAACAGAGGCACATTATATAGTCAGTTACACTTTCTGGTTTTTGGTGTATTTCTTTTTTCCATTGGAAAGATGATTTTTTGCAATGTGAAAAATATTAGCCTACTTCTATGATTTGGAGAAAGTATATGAACACAGGCATAACATACATGATAGTAACTTGTGTCATGTATTGGAGCAAAAGCTGTCTGAGGCTGCTTTGCTCATTTTCATTTTGCACTGTAAGCATTAGCATCAAAAACAACAAAAATCAATTAAATATAAAATTATTTAAATCTGAACAGACAATGTAGGTATATAGCTTATTCACTTTGCTGTTTACTGCAGAGATTCATTAAGAACAGAAAAGTCTTATGTAAAAGTAGACGTCTGAATTTACTTTACCAAAGGCTTTGGTAAAGTTTTGACTGTTAAATACATTAAGAATATTTCATGAGCTCTTTTTGATCTTACAGTTTCACCCAACTACTAAATTAAATTGTGGTTTCAACTACCTACCATCCTGAAACTGCTTGCTTCAAATATCTTGTATCTGATCAGGATGTTTCATTGCAGACAATCTTGAACAATGTTGTGAAGTACATGTAATAGATGTTTATTTTTTTTAATACAAGTGTGTACTTCCTAAGGCAATGTCTTGATATAGAACGTGTTTGAGGGCATGAATAATTCTCCAAAATTGTTGTCAAGGCTCTCAGCTTCTTTCATAGTCAAGCTTTTGGGGAGGAGGTGTCATGGGCAAAGAAAAGTTAATTTCAGCAAGTGAAATTATATTTATCATACTAAATATTAACAGAAAATTTAAGAATTTACTAGTCTGGTAAGTTTGGGAATTATGATGCTATAATTAAGAGTAAAGGAATTACAAAGCACAGAAACATCGTCTTAGTCCATTACTGTCTAAAGAGAGGAACTATAATCCCTGCAAAAAAAAAGTCAATATCCTTAATGTAATATGAAGATTTTCTGTATCATTTCTATAGACTTTTCATTTTGATTTATCTAAGATATCTCAATATTTTTGGCTAAGTTCTTAGTTCATTTAAAGCGCTGTGAAACTAAATACTTTACAAAAGTATCACAGCAGAAGGGAGGACACTTCTTAATACAGATCACTAGTCTAGATACTGATGCCTGCAGACTGAACTGTTTGGCATGTTTATAGGCTGTTTCAGAAGCACTTAAATTCTTTTCCAGTATTACAGAGTTTTAAAGTTGTCTGGTTTGTTACTCATTTCTTGTAGCACTGAGCTTGATACAGCAAAGAGATGTAGACATATAAGTTCTGGTAAAGAGACCATGGTTTCTGTACGTACATCCATAATGGTGTGCTACACATTGCACAGCTGTTACCTCACTGAATATTTACTTGTGTTGCACAGGGAACAAGAGATCCACTGTTTCTGACTGGTGTGACATTCCCACCGGAATACCCCATCTATGAAGAGACTAAAATAAAGCTCACAGTCTATGATGTCAAAGATAAATCTCAAGACACGGTGAGCATGTTGGTTGTTTTGCATAAATCTTGCTGAGAATTGAATTTCCACCATGGTGTGTTCTTCATCTCTTTTCAGCAGGCTTGCGGCTTGGAAAAATGAGGTCATGTAGATTGGCTTTGCTCTTACATGATATACTTTATTTCATTTATCATATTATAGAGAAAGAGAACTATGCAGTTGGACCCTTTGCTATTGTTTAATTGGTTACACGAATCACTGCAGGTATTTCTGGAAAATGAAAGGTTACTCTCGTGTACTTTTTGAAAGCAGGGAACATAGGGAATAGATTGGGATAGCAACATGAGTAAGTTTTCAGAAATATTATTTCCTACTGAGAAGAGGTAGGAAATAGGGAGGGTTGGTTATGTTTTTCTTTTAAACTCTTGCGCGGGGATGCCTGCTGCTCATGTAGGGTTTGTGTTGATTTTTAAGGATCCAAGATCACGTCTGTCACTAAGGGTGAATTGTTTGGGTTCCAGTGTTGTGCATTTTTAGATAGTGTCAGTTTCTTATACTGACAAATAGTTACTTCAGAAGGTGTATGGAGATCACGAGGAATATGAGTGATTTAAGTATCAGATAAAGGCCTTGAGTGCCATGTTATCTATTCTGAGTGATTTAGGACAGACATAAAGAGCTGTATGTTATGCAGGACCTATGGGAGTTGTGTTTTTCTTTTGTGACAGATAGGTTTCGCTTAAGCGTTGAAAGCAGACCTTAAACCTGTCTTCAATTAGCCAAATTGCTCTTTGTGTATCTGTAATTGGCTCCTGATGTGATTAAAGACCATGGAAGCTCATGTCGTGATTGTGCATGCATTCATTATCCATAAGAAGGAAATTAAAACCATAACATGTAACTTCTGACTCTTTGAACTACGTACATGAGTAGAGTTATGTTTAGAGAACTTCAATTTATTTATTTATTTAAAGGCTAAAAGTAAGTCAATATGTTTGATTAAATTTTAAGTATTCATTAGCAAATACACTGGTTCGTCTCCCCACTGTGCTCTCTAATGGGAATTTGTGAAGTATTTTTGTCTGTAGAATATGGATTTCTTTTGGCTCATAGTAAGAGTTCTTTTTGTTTCTTAAAAAGTAACTGGGAAAGGAAATGTGCACACTTGTTTTCAGAATTAGTATGTTTTAATTTTTTGTTATGGTTTACAGGGCTTAAAATCATATCTGCTTTTTCTTCAATGTTGCAGATACAATCCCTTCCAATTTCTAAGCTATTGTGACTGACAGCATGATGGGTAAAAATATCCTATCTGTAGGGAGAAAAAAGTGAACTAGATTTGTAGACCTATCCCTCTAGTCATCTTCTAGTTAGATCTTGAGTATCTATATAGTACCTGTTCCACAGGAAAAATTACTTATGAAAGATCTAGCCTAGAGAATGAATATAATTTGGTAACTTTTAAGAACTTTTTATAACTGTTCCTTATAATTAAGTACAAGATTAGAGTATATCGCAGATAATTGCATCAATGTAGCTTATAAGTCTATGGAGACTTAATGTTTCTCTTTTTAAATTAGAAAATGTTAATGCCATCTTTTAGCCTTTTTTTTTTAATATTTTACCTTTTTAAAACTGGCTGTAAATAAGAAAAAAAAATAGGATGTAATATTGAATTCGAGGTATGTTGTATACAACGTGTGAATGACTGTGAGCCATCCAGGTTGATACTTCATTTGTGACAATATTTAGACTTCATATTCAGTTTCTGGAATATCAGCCAGAATAAAAGTAATGCCATGACTTTCTTTGCTATAATTGAAGCTATAGTACTTTGCTGTTAGTTCAGGTGAGGTTTTTGAGTCTGCAGATATATCTGGATTCATAGAAGTCAACTTCAAGTGAGATAGCTTGATTGCATTACCAGCATAGCTACAGCACTACATACCTCAGTGCTTGTTTCATGATCCAAGAAGTGGGATGCATCCCTTTGGCCATGAGCTGTTCCAAGAGTTGTGGTTTTACCGTGTAGATTATCCAGGCTACAATGAAGATGGCTTCTGAAGCTCATAAAAGCTGCTGTGACGGCTTATGACTGCAACATGTATCCCTGCCATCTCTCCAAACATGAGCACAAGTAATACATGTGGGATGAAGGGGAAACCAAGGTTTTTGAGTCTTCTGTATTATGCTAGTCTCTGCTTCCAGTCTAGACAGATTTGCTGCCAGCTCATGCAAGTGATCCATTTATGGCAGAATAAACCTTGGATGTGACTGAATATGTTGCAGGAATTGGGCAAAAAGCCACAGTAAAAAGACTCTCACAATGTCAAGGCTATTTTACTTTATTACTTTAGTTAACCGTAGTTTCAAAGTAGCTGGTATCGCTCATCACACTGCAGTTCAAAAATACACTTGTTTAAGAAGTGAATTTTGAGCATTAATTAAACTTTGAGCAGGATGTTACTGCCCCAAACGGAGGATTGTTAGGACACAGCCTTACTTTTAAAGCAATTGGATCTTTACTGTGAAGTGAAAATAATTGGATGCTGCTCAACTTGTGCAGGCAGGTTATAATGATAAAGTGAAAGGAAATGCTCCCCAGTGAGAAACAACCAGAATATTTTTTGGCAGTGCTGATATGCTGTTTATGCTGCTCTTCTAAAAAAGATTTTAAAATAACCTTCTTTCTGTCTGTCATTTAACTTGCATTTATATGAGAAGAGCAGTTTAATTATGCTTAAGTGCTGTGCAGCTGGTATCACATTCACTGTGCTTGACACACTAGATGTTCTAGCTGCACTTTTTGCGTTTTATGCGTGTCTGTCTGATGTTCGTGGTAATTATATCTTGGCTGTATCAGGTTTTCTGTAGTTGTGACTCTTTAACAGAAAGAAATACAAATTTTATTATTTTGGCCAGCCATCCTAGTTGATGGTGAGTAATTACTATAAATTTTCATGTAAATAGAAACTTCTAATAGAGATTATGCAATTCTTCACTTTGACATAGCTGGAATCAAGAAGTTAATAGCGATCATAAAGTATAATTTAAATACATCCAGTAAAGCCAAGCATACAAAACAGTGAGTAGTGTCATGTTTTGAAAAATGTACAGTGCAAAACAGTGAGTAGTGTCATGTTTTGAAAAATGTACAGTGACATCTGTTTCTACATCAGAAACATCTTCTCTCCATCCTGCCATGGGCAAGATTGTTTCTCTGGCTTGAGTTGTGCTGTCTTCAAGAATTTTTGATACTTGAGTTTTGTCTTAATGCTTGGGCTGCACCTGTTCTTTAAACCATTGTCCAGGAAAACTGGAATTAGAGGCTCAGATGCTGCTTGAAATATCACCACTGTGTGACTGTTGCAGAGGCAACAGCTTTTTTGTAAGCATGCAGGTTTGTCCAGTTCAGTCTGTCAAGTTGTAATGCTGAGAAGGATTTGTTCACTTAAAAAATACTGCATAGCAGAAGTCAGGTAACACTGCTGGAGCTGCAGAAGATAAAAAATAGATGAGCTCATTTTATATTAAGAGAAGAGAATGCCTGATTTGGGAGGCAGCAGTCTTTTTGTTCTGTGCTGAAAATATGTACGTTTGTGTCTTATAGAACCCCGGAATTATTAAGGTTGGAAAAGGCCTCTAAGATCATTTGGTTGAACCATCAACCCATCACCACAGTGCCCACTAACCACATCCCAAAGGGCCATGTGGGCACGTATAAACGCCTTCAGGCATGGTGATTCCACTGCCTCCCTGGGCAGCCTGTTCCAGTACTTGACTACTCTTTCCGAAAAGAAATTTTCCCAAATATATCCAACCAGAATAATCTGATTATTTCTTGTCAGAGCAATAGAAGGTAATAAAGGTCTTGTAGCAAGCGTTCTGTGCTTTTTTGTATAGTACACTGTATTTTTAGGCAAGCACTGTAGCATTTATCTATTTTAATCTGCTTGTTTTTTTAACAATCAACTCTAATGTTTCCACATCTGCATCTGATTTGATCTGATTTAATTTAATGCAGTTACTGACACAGCTTAATATCTTAATATACAGACTTTAGAGTGGAGTTGAAAATTTTCTTGTCTTACATGTTGGAATTGTGTTGATTTAAATGCAGTGAGGTCTCAAGGTCTGTACTGATGCAGTGTTCTGGTGTGATGTGCAGTGATTCGAACTGCCTCTTGTTGATGCAGGCATGGCAAAGCTGTGGAAGCAGGGGAGAGAAGCCCTGTGACAAGTTTGTGCATCTGGTCTGTGCAGCACTCCTTGCAGATTGTTTTTCTTTAGGAAAAGATAGAATCCAGAAGCTTGACAATAAGCTTTGAAAGTGTATTGTATTGAATTTTGTGTACAACTAAGGTTAAAGACTTAGCAGACAATACTTAGCAGGTAGATGTAGTCTCCTTTAGACAGGTATTATTACTGGAATTCATGGGATACTCCAAGTACAAACAAAAACTCTAATACCATAGTTTTGAATATGTGCGTGTTTCTTGGTATGCAAGTATCCCTTCTAAAGCAGAATTGCACTGGGTTAAGTGGGAAATGAAGATTTTGAAAAAAGAGGCATTTTGAGTTTAATATGAAGCCAAATCTGAAGTGACAGTCTTCCAAGTTCCCTTGTGGGCATTGATTTGTATGACAGAACCACCACGCTGCTCAGTGTGGTTTGCCATTTGTGCAGAAGAGGCCAATGGCTTGAGTATTAGTAACAGTGCAAAGCAGTATGTGAAATGCATTAGCAGGGATAAATGTGAAAGTCTGAACATCATCTACCTGCATGCTGCCTCTACCAGAGTGCTCTTAATGCCTCGCTCTTGTGGACACAAGCTTCTGAGGCTAGGTTTCTGTTTTTCTTTAAGACCTAAGTAATCTTAGAAGTGCTCATTGTTTAATGAAAAAGCTCTTCAAATTCTTCTTCCTTTTCTCAGTTCTGTTCACTGTCATCTCTGCAGGATTTGTACAGAAATATTGCCTTAAATTAGAAACTCTTATTATCTCATTCTTTTTAATAAGGCAGTGCAGCTCAGTGTCAC